ACCAGCGTCTTGCAACGTGTGTGGAGGTTGGGTGGTAGGATATATCAAACCCAGACCCATGTGCGCGAAGCGCACAGCATCACGAAACGTGTGTGGAGGGGGTGGGATATATCAAACCCAAACCCATCTGCGCGAAGCGCACGGCGTCACACAACGTGTGTGGAGGGTTGTGTGGTAGGATAAATCAAACCCAGACCCATCTGCGTGAAGCGCACAGCTTTACACAGTGAGTAGATGGTTACTATAGTAGTTACTATAGTATATAACCCAAAACCATCTGCGCGAAGTGCACATTGGCAACGTGTGTGAAGGGTTACTATAATGATTGCTATACTGACTTCATTAGAAACTGGCGTGGAATTCACCCATGCTCAGTGGCAGTCAATCCAACAGATCCATACGCACTTGCAAACTGAACCCAATAATGAAGACGATCAGGATCCATTACTCACAGCCGAATTGATGCGACTGTGCATGCTAGTCGTGATGCAGGACACTAGCAAGATTGGGCTGTACGAGTCACCATTGATGCATTACTTAGCTGTTCGTGGGATCGATCCACTTACCAAATCGCTATATCCACCACTTGCATACACACCAATACTTGGACGTGTGTTATGGATCACACGGCTGCTTATGCTTGAGATCGCAGTACCATTAGAGCCATGGCCAGAATTAAGACTCCAGAGCAAAGAGGATATTGAATCAATTCCTGAGCGAATCCACAAGCTACGGAGGACCCATCTCTGTGAAGGCTCATTCTCACCAACGTCAAGCATCTGAGTCAATTAGCTATGGGGAAGAAGTATAACCAGCTGCATGAGTCGCCAGCGAACATCCACTGGTCACGCGATGAACAGACGATTTATTATCTTGGAATGGGAGTTGAGCTTGAAAAGGTTAGGGAAATGTGCCATGACTTGATAGGATTACTACAAAGATTACTATACAATCTGGCGTTTGATTCAGAGCTGCCCATGGTAGATTTGAGCCAGATCGTTGACAGCATGGCTTGGAACACGAAATTTCGACAGTCTGAGTACAGCTTCATCAACCATGTAAGAATCGAGAGCGTACGGATGTAGGTTATCAGTATCTGCTTAAACGTGCAAGGAAGGGAAGCAAGGAGTGGCAGTTGCTTCAAAGAGCAGGCGATGGATCATACAAATGGAACGACTCACAGAAGCAGGCGTACTTGAATCAAGAGCGTCAGTTCTTACGAAAGTTGATGGTTACTTTGCATTCACAGGTGGCCAGCCAGCTCGAGGACCAGAGATTGGATCGATCAAGGTTAGTAACAGTGTGTATTCAGCGCGGAACATATACGTCATTAATGGGCAGATGTGCTTCTTAACCATGTACGATAAGGCAAGAAAGAGGAGGGGAAACACAGATTACATTGTTCGGTTCTTGCCCAATGAGGTCAGTCAAGTGTTAGCACAGTACTTGATATATATCCGACCATTTGGCAGGGCATTAGACCAACGAGAGTCAGAGTACTTGTTTGGTGATAATCGAGGGCCATGGCAGGAGAAGAGCTCACGCAAGCTTTAAGCAAGGCAACAAGTAAGGGGCTAGTGTACGGTTGACAGTGCAGAGCTGGCGACACGTAGCCATTGGAATTGCTGTACGGCATTTACTACGAGCAAGCAAGACGTGGGAGAAGGACGATGAAGAGGATGAAGGAGAGTTTGCAGAGGGTGATGATGAAGAAGAGTTGGAGCAGAACACATTCCGACATATCATGGTTAGGTGAGTTTATAGTAATGATTATAGTAAGCGCTATTTATGGTAGTACCATAGTATGGTACTATTGTTTATAGTAATTATTATAGTAATCATTATGGTAATTAGTACTAACATTAAACAGACAATCAGGGCATGGGCAGAGAGTAGCCCAAGCTCATTATGCAGTTGACGGAGCATTCTTGCATCGACTAGGCCCAGAGTTAATCACAGCATATGAGCAAGCTTCAGTAGCATGGCACGAGTTGTTAGGGTTGGCACAGGCTGAGGGGAAAGGAAAGCATGGGCGACAAGCCAGCCAGCAATTAACACCAGTTGGCATCAAACGAGAGAGGAGAGAGAGCAAGCATGGGGTGAAGGCAAAGGCATTAGATGGGTTGCGACGGATCTATGGCCCACAAGCGCAGCCACGATCTGAAGGACAAGCTGCAGCACTACAACTTGTTCACCAGCCCCCAGTCACATCGATTATCGTGTTGCCCACAAGCAGTGGCAAGTCAGTGCTGTTCTTTTCAGTGGCTGCCATGGCTGTTGACCAGACAGTGATTGTGGTCGTTCCATTCACAGCACTAGTTGAAGATATCGTGGCTCGAGGACAGGCTGCTGGGCTGCACTGTAAAGAGTGGAGCTATAGTAATCATTATAGTAGTCAAGAGTTGGTGCAGCTGCTGGTTGTCAGTGCTGACCAGGCCGTCAGTGGGCAGTTTCTCCACGAGGCTAAGGGGTACGAGTTGAATGGGCAGCTAGCTCACATGTTCTTTGATGAATGCCATGTTGCATTTACAGATACATCATATCGAGAGCGGCTTCGAGAGCTGTGGAAACTACGGTACTTAAAGTGTCCATTTACAGCATTAACAGCCACATTGATGGTTGAGCTAGAAGATGTATTACGAGACAGGCTATTAATTGAGGATGCAGTACTACTACGACGGAGCACTGCACGGCCGACCATTCGATATCAGGTGCAGGATAGTAAGGAAGAAGCAGCATCTGCGGTCGGACTTCGATTACTAGAAAGACTACTATACTTGCCAGATGGGAAACGTGGAGTGGTTTATGTACGGAGCTATGCAACTGGCGACTTAATCAGCAGTGCTTTAGAGTGCTCATTTTACAAGGCACGCGCAGATGATAAGGGCGAAACACTACAGAAGTGGGCTCAAGGAAGTGGAGGATGGATTGTGGCGACAGGAGCATTAGGGACAGGAATTAATATTCCAGGGATCATATATGTGGTGCATATTGATAGGCCATATGGATTGACGAGCTTTGCTCAACAGTCAGGAAGGGGAGGAAGAGAGGGAGAGGTTAGTGAGTCGATAATTGTCACACTAGTACAGAGTGTAGGGGTAAAGAGTCAAGGGTTGATGAGCGAGTATTCAGTGGAGCAGGTGGATGAGGATGCAATGACGGAATATATCCAGAGCAGGGAGTGCAGGCGAGTAGTATTAGGGCACTACTTTGATGGGGTAGTAGAGGGAGTGAGCTGTGTAGGGTCGGACAGCGTGCTATGCGATTTGTGTTTGAGCCAAGTGGCAGTAAGGAAGAGAGGTGAGGAGGAGGCGATTACTATAAAGGTTACTATAAATGATGGTAGTAGGAATGATGGCAGGGAAAGCACGGGTGGCAGGATTCAGAGTAAGATGAAAGAGGTAGAAGAAGAGGAAGAGCAGATGAGAGGGGTGATGAATAGGTTAAAGGGGGGATGCATATATTGCGAGCTAGTATATGGCAAAGGGAGGCAGCACGAGTACGTTGATTGTATGGAAGCAGAAATGGAGGGATGTGGGATTGCAGGGTATGAGGAATGGCGTGGGGGGGTTGATTTAAGAGGACTAGGGCAGTGCGAAGAGTGTGGATTGTCAGTAAAGGTATGTCGACGGTGGGAAGGGGGGGTTGTGAGGATGGCAGAAGAGAGGTGTGAGTATGAGGGGGTGATGCTAGTAGGGATATTCATATTATTCCAACAGGGGTATTTACAAGGAGTGGCAGAAGTAGGGGGGTTCCAAGGGAGGTATCCCGAGGAGATATGGGGATGGATGAAGGAGAGGGAAGAAAGGATGAATAGGGTTGAGAGCAATTGGATGTTAGTATGGCGAGAAGCATGTAGGATGTTAGAGATGATGAGGGATGAGCGTAAGGGTTTATAGTAATTAGTATAGTAAACTACCATCTATGCTAACCCTAGCTCGAATGCCAGACTAGCCTTTGGAATATTTCGAGGCAACACTCTCGCTCTGATACTCAGTTTGAGGGAGGGGAGCTGTGCCTGCCAGCCCTTGGCTATAGGATTCCCTTCCAGCCAGGGGATGTTGTCCTGTTCCGCTCTGCAGTCCTCGAGCACTGGATCGCGCCCTTCGAGGGCACGCGGTACTCGTGCGTCTTCTTCACGAAGCAGAGCAACTGGCAGCCAGGTGAGGAGGAGTAGAGGGCTTGTCTCCTGGTCCATTTCCGGACTCACGTTCTTGCAGGGACGGTAGGTTGACGGTCTCGCAATCGAGTGGAACGTTCGCTGACGTTTCCTGTGCAGCTTTGCAAGGGGAACAAATTGACGTACTCCGATTGTTGATCGGACTTTCGATGGTGGAGATATTCCGGTTTTGGTCGGGCGATGCATGGGAGGGGTGATTGGGGGAGCATGTTATAGGATGGATTGTAATATCCTGACACGGCATGCAGATGGTGCGTTCGATAGCGTTAATAAAAGTGATTTGCAAGACGAATCAAATGGCGTACTCCGATTTGTGATACGAGTTGAGACGGGTGAGATATTGCAGATTTCGCTGGGGGGACAGTAGGGGTGGTGGAGCACCTACTCTGAGGGATTATAACCTTTGCAGCTACGGCGGAAACTTAACGTTCGATATCGTCATTGGAAGAGATTTGCAAGAGAAATCGAATGGCCTCTTACGATTTTTGATACGACTTGAAACGAGTGAGTTATTTCGGATTTGTTGGGCCGGGCCCAGGAAATGGGGCCCCATGGTAACATGTGAGAAGGATTCCAACTTTTGCAGCGACGTCTGAAACTTAACGTTCGGTATCGTCAATGGAAGATATTTACAAGGGGAATCGAATGGCGTATCCCAAGTTTTGATCCGAGTTCAACTGGTGAAGATATTCCGGATTTAGACGGGTGGCAGTGGGTAGGAAGGCCAAGGGGGGTGGTTACATATGAGACGTGGTATAACTTGTGCAGCAGTGCGCTGAACTTAACGTTCGATAGCGTTATTGAAAGAGGATTGCAAGGGGAACAAAATGGCGTACTCCTTTTTTTGATACGAGAAAAAATGGGTTAGTTATTTCGGATTTCGTCAGGTGCTTGGTGGCTGAGGGACTGGCTGAGTATAGTTTATGAAGGCTAATAACGCCTGCAGCGATGGATCAAATCTATCGTTCGATAGGGGAAATTGGACAACTTTGCAAGACGAACAAAATGGCATACTCCGATTGTTGATACGAGTTGAAACGAACAAGTTATGGCGGATCTTGTCAGGCGGTAAGTGGCAGGGGGGGGCTGAGCATAGTTTTCAGAGGCTAATAACTTTTACAACAACAGACGAAACCAAACGTTCAGTATCGTTATTAAGGGAGATTTGCAAGCGGAATCGAATGGCGTCCTCCGATTTTTGATACGAGTTGAAATGATCGTGTTATAATGGATTTCGATGGGTGGCAAGAAGAAGAGGGCATAGAACGGGAAGTGGTATAAATGCAGAGCTGAGAGGCAAGATCAAACGTTCGATATCGTAATTGAAAGAAATTTACAAGGGGAACAAAATGGCGTCTTCCGATTTACGATGCGGTTTGAAACGATGGAGATATCCCAGATTCCGCCAGGTGGCAAGGGTGCAGTATGGGCATGGCACGTGAGTGGCGATAGCTTCTGCAGCGATGGGTAGAATATAAAGTTCGATATCGTCATTGAAGGAGAATTACGAGGGGAATCAAATGACGTCTTCCGATTTTTGATACGGCTTGAAATGGCCGAGGTATTCCAGATTCCGATGGGTGGCAAAGGGTGGTGGGGGGCTAGGTATGAGAAGAGTCACATGTTCTGCAGGAGCGGGCGGAATTTATCGTTCGACACCACCATTGACAGAGGTTTACAAGCGGAACAGAATGGCTACCTCCGATTTCTGATACGAGTTTAAGTGAGAGAGTTATTTCGGATTTGTCGAGTGGTAGGGGCAGGTGGAGCCTAGGCTGCGCACTACTCGCCCAATACTCGGCTCACTCACTCAGTGGGTTACTCAGCTGGGTGAGTAGCTGAACCTTTCACTCGACTCGGTGAGTGAGGCCAATACTCAGTTACTCTGTAAAAACCCAGTGAGTACTCGGCTGTCACGTGTAAGATATATGCATTACGTGAACAGTCCCTCATACGATTAATACTGTTTTATGGTTACAGTTGTAAGTTAATTTAAAGTATTACATTTATCAGCATCACTCTACCATCTCTAATAAGCTGTGAGAACGAATCACGTATATTCCTCTATCTAAGTACCACGATTATCAGAAGATTATCAGAACACTATATTATATATGCTCAAGAACATCTTTCCACCTTGCTTGATGAGGCCGGCCAGACCTACTAATACCTAAAGTATTTATAGGGTCTTGACGAGTAGCTTGAAAGATATCAAGTAGATCTCTTCCAGTCTTCCGAGGGTGTTGGATAGGCGTTGGTGGCGAGGACGGCATATCCTTATCTTCATCGTCATGAATAGTTGGAAGTATAGGCTCCTCATTATTACCATCTTCTCTTATATCTTCATTATCTGGGATATCGTCATCTGGGATGTCGTATAAGGTCTCGTTAAGACGGTCAGCCCTATCTCTTTCTTCACCTTGTTGGTAGCGCATTTGTCGTTCTTCATGTGCAGCTTGTGATAAGTCTTGCTGTTGCTGTGGCCGCTGAGGATTAAACGGAGGATATTGTACCTTTGAATATGTCTCTCGGATATGTGTATTTGATCGTGGTTCTTCTTCATCGCTGATATATTGTAACTCGATAGAATTGCACATCCGTTGTCGTTGTGCCTCATACTCTTCTTCGACTTGCTCCTCAGTCATATCAACGACGTCCATCATATCTGCAAGCTTGTCACGATGACCTTGACGATTCTTGTATTGTCGAGAGTAATATATAAGCATAATACTCTTAATCGTCTCAGGATTAAGTTGACCACGTCGGTGGCCACATACGTCCCTTGCGGCACTAAAGACTCGCTCAACTCCAGACTCAGCAGCAGGAATACAAAGTATATCACGAGCCATTGCTGATAGACCAGGAAATTGCTCTTCCTTTTGTTGCCAAAATAGCAATATCTTTGTGTAGATATGTGCTATACAAGTTAGAATAAGATTATCAGAAGATTACCAGAAACTTACGAGCATCAAGATAGAGATCAGCCTCATTCACATATTCCTCTCGCTGGCCCCGAGTCCCATTTAATGTCTGACTTTGCTGCAATACTAAGGCTAATGGATCCATATCTGCATCTCGTAATCCTGATTGACTCGCAACTCGCACTGTAGAGTACTGCTCTTTATAAAGAGTCCTAAACTGTTGTTCAAACTCTGTCTCCCAATTTCGTATTGAAAAGTCAAGCTTGCAAACCTTTTTGTTAAAGTGTGAGAGCTTCACACTAGGATTTAAGATACTAGCAAATGCGAAGATAGATCCAGTATTTGTGTATAGCTTGTTATAATACTTCCTAATCTTTTTCTCTGCAGCATCGATTGCTAAAGTCATCTTTGCTGCCCATGGATATGTCTTATGCCGTAGCCGGTGCCGAGTTCCTTCAAGCGTTGATAAGAGTTTTTGATATACTCCAAGTGTATAGCAGACAGTAGGTCCGGCTGACGATCCAATGTTTGTTGTAAAGAAGTTGAATGGCCTTGTAAGATCAATGATGTATTCGATGTGCTTCCATTCTAGCTCGCTAAGTCTGAACATGTGAGCACCATGATCGCCTCGAGTATATTGATTGATTGTTGACTTGAGTTGCTGTGCTCGCAGAAGCATATGGCATGTCGAATCCCATCGAGTTGATACATCTTGAATAAGTCGAAGAAGCCTCTGAGATGATTGACCCCGGTTCATGTTTGCCTTTTGCAAAGTCATAAACCTGTTCCTTCGAGTTTGACTTGAATTAACAAAGATAGTGAGCTTCCGGAGCTATGAGATATTAGAAAAGACTACCAGAAGTTTACCAGAACTAACAAGAGAATATATACCTTTCCAAGTGTAAATCCAATACCCTTGTCCTTCTGCAACTTTGCAAGGCCCTCCATCTGATTCTCTTCTTCCCAGTTCATTAAGATCTCTTGATTTGTTGGCGTAATCCGGATTCGACCAAGGAGAGCACTAAGGGCAAGTTGAATAACGTGAGCTAGGCAGGGTATGTGTTGTACTTTTCCTCCAATGAAATGCTCGTTGTCTGCAATACTATCAAGCATTATTTCCACATCTCTCATCATTGAAGTGTTTTTTGACGCATTATCAGTCGTAATGGATATAATTCGTCCTTCTAAATGCTGCCTTGTGATAACTTTTTCAAGTATTCCACATAACTCAGCACCAGTATGCTCTGTATATATAGGTTCAAACCCAATCAAGACCTCTTGCATTTTCCAATGACGGTCGATAAATGATGCAATAACACCCATAAATGAAAGTCGAGTAACACTTGACCAACAGTCGAGCGATAATGCAATCTTTGAACCAGGAACAACATCTTGTAGCATCTCTTCTTCGATTTGTGTGAGCTTTGTTGTTAAGAGGTTTCGAATAGTTGTTGCTGAGGGTAGTGGATAGTGAGGATTCTGTAAGATAGCAAGCCTTTTCCATTCAGGATCCTCGACTGAGCGGAATGAGCTATGAGTTGAGATAACTGTGTATAGAACTTGTTCGTAAAATGCCTCTTGTGTGAGAATATGATCCTATTATAGATATTAGCCTATATAATTCTGGTAATAATCTGGTAATCCTTACCTGTTGAGGTCGCATCTGATTGATTCGCATTTGATAGAGACTATCCTTACCCATCCGTGACTTCTTTTTGCAAATGTCTGATGCAAGATGTGTTGCCATAGACTTTGGGCCAGCAGACTTGATTGCAGGATGCGTAAGGGCCTTCGAACAATAGGTACAAATGACACATGGTTCTCCAGAAAGCCGGTCTGCTCCTAGGTGATAAATTCTCCAGTATTGAGAACTCCGGTTGGTTGAATCCCATGCAATCTTCGTAAGGAGTTTTGTAGTATGATCTGAGTGTTGTTCATACCATCGTGATAGCTTCCACCACTCAATGAATACATCGTGTGTATCCTTAGTCCATTTGATGAATTGGTTTAATTTGCCAGTATATTCGAGGCCCGCAGGGATTTGATTTAATGAAGGTAGTCGTTGAGAAGAGGGAAGAGAGTCTGAGAATATATTAGAAATAGGATTGTCAGAGTCAAACAACTCTGAATATTGCGATGACATTTGGCAAGTAGCAAATTGTTTGATTATCAGAAGATTACCAGAAGTCTGGCTACGATGAAATACTTAAATCTCTATAGCCCCTATTCGCGTCGGAAAATCAAATACTCCATTTCTCTCCTCTACTCTAACTCCAGAAACAACATATCCTGTGCAGCTGATACCTTAGCCCACTTTTCCTTATCAAATTTCTTAGAGTAGACAAGTAAGAACGCCTCTTTGAAGCTAGAACTATGAGTGGAGACTTGTAACCATCCGTTGTCGACAAGATTGTAAGACTTTGGGTACCACTGCGCAGGTCCTGGTAATTGGGCCCACTTTCCAAACTTCCAAGCTGTAAAGTTTGTCCAAACTGCCTGCTCGTACAAACAGAAATATTTATGTGGTGGGATAACGTTGTGAAAAGTGCTATAATAAACAATTAGTATCTCTAGAAGATTGCTAGAATGATCAGAGACGTACCCTTCTTCTACATCAATCCATGGCATATATTCAAAGAGATGCTCAGGCTTCTTTCTCAGCTTTCCAGCCTTTCTCGTATATGAGCGGATACAGCTATCCCAGAAATGTTGCCACTTGCGGAAATTGGACTCTTCATGGGCCTATCAACCGTTAGTATTACCAGAAGATTACCAGAAGATTACCAGACTATGAGGTACCAACATCAATGCATGCTTGAGTTAAGAGAGCCTGGATGCTAGCGATCTCTTCATCAGAAAGCTCATCTGGTAGAACAGCCTCGTCATTTAAAATATCGTCGCGCCGTAACATAAGCTCCAACTCTAAATCGTCTTCAACCTCAGTATCCTCCCATTCGCTGTTATGATTGTCATCGATTGGGATACTGGTGATACCCTCAAATGCAGCAAGCTCAGACAGAAGTTGTGGCGGAGTAGATGGTGGGGCTTGTGGAGAAGAAGAAGGGGCGCTAGTATTCTTGACTTTCTGATTCGCAATGCAAGATGCATGGGTGCCCTTTTCAGTCCTGTTTATAGTTAGATTAAGGCTACCAGAGATTACCAGAAGGAACTTACCGAACACGAATACGCTCAACCTTCAATTCATTCTGTAGACGTGTCTTGTCTTCAGCAGAGGCAGCGATATACTTTGCAGACTTGTATAACTTCTTTAAGTAGTAGCTCAGATCGCCATGGTCAGCCTTGAGTGCTAAATGAACAGCCTTCTCATCTTCAGTAAGGTTGGAGACGCGGTTGCGAGCTTTGATAGTATTCAAATTAGTGGAGAGTTCTTCAGGTGCCTTGCGTTTCGCCATGCTAAACACGTGATTAGCAGAAGATCATCAGAAGTTCTGACTGTAGAATCAAGATAATAAACTTGAGGTCCTAGTAAAGAGGTAAAGCGCAAAAGAGAAGAAGAATGTGTAGATCGGAACGTAACCAAGGAAGGTGGTTGGTTGTAAGGTTGTTGTTTTTTTAAAGTTGCAAACAATTATATTCGTCAAGGAATATTCACCTGCAAATAATTACTGTTCTAAACAACACTACAATGCATACCTTCAAATAAAACACATACCTTTCAACCTCTACCTCTTTCTTTACTCTTTCTACAACATCCTTGCTACAAACTCACTGTAAGTACATATATCTTTTGATCTACTTCTTTGTCTTGTGTATACTTCACTAACTCATCTTAATGTTAAACTGCTAGGAGATCAACTGGCGGCACAGCACCAAGGATGCCACTTGGATTACAGGCTGGCTCTAGGCTTGGTGAAAGGGAAAGGGAAAGGAAAAGGCTGTGCGCACAGCAAGAAAAGCTCCAGTTCGCTCATCTCAAGCTTGCAACAATCATGCTCAGAAGGCCATGCGCCGTGCAAAGTCTGGTAAGAGGATTACCAGAGGATTACCAGAACTCTCTAATAAACATATAGGCACCAAGGCTCTCCGCGATATTAGAAGACAGCAACTTGATACTCGCCTGATTATTCCAAAGCTCTCATTCCAGCGTCTTGTTAGGAAAATCGCACAAGACTTCAAGTCCAATCTTCGCTTCCAGCAATCTGCTATCCTAGCTCTCCAGAAAGCTGCCGAATGCTTCCTCATTCGAGAATTTGAGAGTATGATACTTGAACATAGTGACAGGGACATACTAACAGTTATAGTGACAAATCTCCTTGCTATTCATGCGAAGAGAGTGACAATTCAGGCAAAGGATATGGTATTGGTTCGGCGTTTGCGGGATATGATGTTTAATCATGGAGCTGTAGGCTTAATTGATGGAAATGTCTCTCACCCAGGAATGAAGGTTAGATAAGTTCTGGCAACCTTCTGGTAACCTGGTACCTAAAGGCAAAGGTTATAGTGTGGAATAGGATATCAACGACATGGGAATGGAGTTATTGAGTTATGGCGTTTACGATATCGATATCAATGTGAAGTCACGATCACACCCCTTTTCAATGACTAATCAAACACGTGATATAACTGGGTTGCCAAGACCTATACTAGGTACCCGGCAAGTGAGTAATCCTCATTCAACAATACTCGGGATATGAGTGAAGTAACTCAGCTGGGTGAGTAGAAATTCTACTACTCGACTCATGAGTACCCAGTGCGCAGCCTAGTGGAGCCTAACAATTAGTTTCCCCAAACACGGCGTGATTGGGGATTTTTTTGTATGGGGAAAATAAGGTTTGGCCCGTGCATCACCCCAACACAACACAGCGTGATTGGGATAACCCCAAGTCATGGAAACACCATGCGCGAGCAGTTGAAAGGGTTCTAAATGATTGGAATGGAGGTTGCAGCCATGGCACAACCCGTCCCCGAAGTATTACGCAGTATAATTGCATTGAATGTGGAGTTTGGTGTTTTGGTATGTTGCGAGTGCCGGCATGCATTGAAGCCGACTGCCATTTTGCGACACTTGAGCGACAGACACAAGACGCCCAGTCAGTTGCGGAGGCAAGTGAGTGAGTACGTAAAGGAGTTCCCATTTATGTATGATCATGCGACAGTCAAATTACCAAGTAATGGTTCCACCCCACAACCCATTATCCCCGTCATAACGGGTTGCAATGTAGGGATTGCCCGTACAAGACACGGAGCCGAGTCACAATGAAACAGCATGGGAACAAGGTGCATAGCAAGCAGCGGGTTGCGGATGAGGATTTGTTCCAGGCCCGTGCAGTTTACAGTCATGGTTCGATGAAAGGAGGGCACGGTATGGGTTGTCGACAGGAGTAGGCAAGAAGAGCAAGTGCGACAGGGGCGTCGAGCCATCGTGCGCGATGCAGGTGAGGATTCTGATGCAGGCGATGGGTTAGATAGTGGGAGTGATGGTGGGGGCCACATGGTTGACGACCAGATCATCCAGGATATTGAGAAGTGGAGGCCGACAAGCAAGAGCGGCGGCTGCATTTTTCGAGGGAGGTGCCTGCCGTGGAGATGGATTCATGGTTGCAGTACACGAGGTGGAACGAGGCGTTAAGCCAGTCGAAGCACAACATGGTTGAGACGTCCCGCTTCGCGCGCATGCCAGACCCGAGGAGCCCAAGCTGGAACGGTTGTTGCGAGCATGGAAACGGATCATGGAGCGGTGTCTGGACACGCTAGAGGACATTGACCACAAAGATGTGTTAAAGTGGTGGGCGTCACCGAAGAACGAGGCCGCAAGCCAGCGGCCATTCGAACTGCCGCAGAGCACAAAGAGCATGGATAAGTACAGCCGGGTCTGGGAGGGTTTCATTTGTTACATGATGCGGACAGCGACGGGGGATTGGGGGGAGGATTCAGAGACGGGCGTGGGAGTACACGTATGCACAGTGGAGGTGCATTCAACGGATACGGAGGGGGTTGGATAGCCATGAGGACATTGGGGGGAGACAATAGGCGGAATGGCAGGCGAAGCAAAAGACTGCGATCGCGAGGTAACCAGTGCATTGATGTGCTTGTGCATGTTAACAGTCATGCAAGACACGAGCCGGATCGCATTATACGATTCACCCATGATGCATTACTTAGCAGTCTGAGGGATTGATGAGCAGAGCCAGTCGTTGCTGTCAGCATTTTCGTACACGCCCGTTCTGGCTGGCATGTTATGGATCAACCGGTTGATCATGCTGGAGTGGCAGTCCCGTGCGAGGCGTGGCCCGAGTTGAGGTTAAAGAGCAAGGCAGAGGTCGATTCCGTAGCAGACCGAATCCACGAGTTGCGGAGGAAGCATTTGTGCGAGGGGTCATTCTCACCCACGTCGAGCATTTTGACGCAGTTGGCCATGGGGAAGAAGTTCAACAAAACACACCAGTCGCCATCCAACATCCATTGGTCTGACGATGAGAAGGTTATAAACTACTTGGGCCAGCCGGTGGTGTTGGATAAGGTGAAGGCGATGTGCCACGCGTTGATTGTGGAGTTGCAAGCATTGATGGGGGTGTTGACGTTCGGATGTGATGTGAAGGCCATTGATTTGGATCGGATCATGGACAGCATGGCGTGGAGCCAGTCGTTCCGTCAGCAGGACTTCAGCTTCGTCGAGCATGTGCAGAACCAGGACCAGGTCGGGGTTGGTTATCGGTATTTGTTGGAGCGAGCGCAGAGGGGTGGTGGGGGGTGGAGGTTGCTACGAAACAACCGAGCGACGCAAGCAGCCGAATGGTTCCGGCCGCAGGTGGAGAAGTATCTGATAAAGGAGGGACAGTTCTTACGGAAGCTGATGGTGTGCATGCACGTAACGGGTGGGCAGCCCGGACGCGGGCCCGAGTTGGGTTCGGTGAAGGTGAGCAACAGTGTTTATTCAGCCCGGAACATATACGTGGTCAACGGGCGGATGTGCTTCTTAACCATGTATGACAAGGCACGGAAGAGACGGGGGAACACAGAGTACATTGTACGGTGTCTGCCGGACGAGGTGGGACAGGTGTTGGCACAGTATCTGGTATACGTGCGTCCATTTGCGCGGGCATTGGATCAGCGAGAGTCAGAGTATT